AAGGTAGTACAAGAGAAAACCCGACTGAACGAATGTTCCTTCTAAAATCTATTGTATTGTATTAATAATCTGAAAAAAAACACCGTTATTACCAATTCGCATGTTATTATTAAACTTTACTGCATTTTATACTAATCTCTATATATGTTATAACCAATCTCTACCGTATGTTATTATTTTTCTCTACCTGTATTATTACTAATGTCTACCATATGTCATTACTAATCTCTACCGTTTGCTTTTACTTATCACAAACCATATGTATTGATAACCTCTACCTATAAAGTTATTTTCTTATCTCAACCGTATGTTATTACTAATCTCTTCCACATGCTATTACTTATCTCAAACGAATGATTTTTTCTAATATCTACTTATATTTTTACTAATCCTTCCCTCATGTTATTATTAATCTCTATCGTATGTTATTACTAATCTCTACCATATATTATTAGTAATGTCTACCTATGTTATTACTAATCTCTACCGTTTGCTTTAACTTATCACAACCGTTTGTTATTGCTAATCTCTACCTTAGTTATTATTAAACCCTCACATATGTTATTACTTATCTCTACTGAATATGCTATTACTTATCACTTCAATTTTTTCTTATCTTATATTCTTGTTTTACTAGCTCTTGCATTTTATAAACTATCTACCATATTTATCACAATATCTGTCACTTTCATTGCGGACAATAAATCGGAGTCTGGTTGATTAGGTCAATGGAATAAAACATTTCAAGAATTATATTATCCGAAACGATTTTACACATTTCTACTGTTATTTTCAATAACGTTTGTATCAAAATTAAGTTTGAATTGTCGACAATTGTCGTGTGAAATAACTTCAGTTTTCGCTTTTTTATTTAGTAAGTACACTATAAGAATCTGTAAAAAAATGACATTATAAGACGGTTATATGCCTTAAAAGTTATCTATCAGCAAAATTTAAGTACAATAAACCACGTGGTTAATGAGTTATGAACATTTTTCTGAACTAAAACTTTCCTATTAGAAGTGTTTTTTAGAAATTAGGAAATTCTAAATAATCTATAATATCATCATTACGAAAAATGTTTACCCATTGCTCATTTTTAAGAAACAAAATAATAATAATATTCATGTAACAAATTACACAAGCAAAATGTTTCTTTACAAAATGTTTTAAAACTGTATAAAAATGTTACCGTACCCCACCCACTTTAAACACTTATTTGGACATTTCTCTTTGAAAAAAAGCCTTATTCAATATTTCCTAAAATTCACCACAATGAGGTGCTGTTTTCAAAGTTTGCCTAAATTTTCTTGATTGCAAAATATAATATACTTTTACCTTGTAGTTTTATTTTATTAAACGAATCATTTAGCAAATAATTGATACCTACAATAATTATATAATTAAAATCAAACACTTTTTTTCTTCCATTAGGGATCTGAGAGATAAATAAATAATGTAAAAAAGAAAAAAAAAGAAATTTAAAATTGCATCTTCTGGGGTTTGAACCCACGCCCCTCATTTTCAATGCAGTTAGCAAGTGATTCTATCCTATTTGAATACCCTTCAAAGTGGAGGTAATACATAATGAGTGGTCTACCTTAAGGTGACAACAGACACTTTCCGTGGTACTCACATAAATGTCATTTAAACAAAGTTATTTTAGTAATAATTGTTATTTTATTTAATCTTTGTGCATTAAATGTCGTTGATCATCATAAAAAATAACATATTTGAAAAAAATGCCTTTGTAAATGATTGATTTGAATAAAATTCTAAAATTTTAAATCGTCATATCAAAGTCATTTTTTATTTTTTGTCATCAAAACTTTGGAAAATAACCATACTTATATTATCTGGGGAATACTGTTCTCAAATTTTTTCTATCTTTTCTCAAAAAATATTACGTAACGTCAAACATTTTTTATGCGACTTTTTTCACCATACATATTACGTAATTAAAGATAATTAAGTCGCCTATTAAGCAAACAAAATCCCTGACACGGTTCCCTCCGTAAATGAATTTCCTTTCATGTGCTTTAAACCGCATGTTAATTGCTTGATTATTAAAAAAGTTATGCGATTCAAAGTTAGTCCGACCCGCCCATCAAACGAAGTGTCATAAATCGACTGTTCTCTCTTGGACCCCTACGTTTCACGTAATACACAAATCTCGCACCAGATAGGGTCACAAGTTGCGGTAAACATACTCTACAACAACATTTTATGACCCAGTGACATCTGACCAATTAAAAAGCTGCTGATTAATATCAGTTTATAGCCGAAATGTCTTCAATTCTTAACGTGATTTACTGTTCGTCTGGTATCTGTAGCACATGTCACGTGAGTATCGGTAAAATTTGAGGCACTCAGTGGGGGGAAATGGAACGCATTTGCGCACCGCTAGCGGGGTATTTAATTGGTTCCTTTTTGAAGTTTATTATTATCATCAGCATTATTATTGTATTATACCAGTGTCACTCTGCCTGTGTATTCGTGTATGAAATTCCGTTAAAATAAAATAAAATAACAAAAAACTGAGCTTCTGACAGTCTTTTAAAGTCCATGAAAGATGTACAAATAAGAACGGGATATTATATATTTTTTCCACCAAATTGATAATGCTTCACATATTTTAATAGAAATAAAAGGTATTACTCGATCATTATGATCTGGCCTTCTTGACTTCTATTATGAATATCATCTATGCATGGCATAGAGATCCAGTTTCTACCGGGATAGACAATAAATTTCAGATTTATTTAGTACTGAGTCCCGATTTACTGGCGAACAATTTATTTTCACTGAGAATATATTTTTAATATCTTTTTTTTATTTATAGAGAAATAATCATCCTTAGACAATCTAAAATGGTTTAGAAATTTTTGTCAGGGACACCTTACCACAAGTCATATGGGCGTTCACATAAAAAAATGTTGTCTGTTTTTGTTGTTGTTTTACTGGACATTGTTAGAAAACGAGGTTGAATGTAAAGTAAGCCCTTGAATCCGTACAAAAGTCTATCAACTTAATGTAATATCTATCAGATTAACGGGACAGACAAATTATTTTCACACATTATGGATATTTTAGCAACTACATTTTTAATCAACCCCGTTGTCGTGCGATTTGCCGCTATCTTAATTATTTATGTTTCATTCATTATGTTACGTACATTGGCCGACAATTTCTTAATTTGTAAAAAAAGGCTAAATGTTGAGATATTCATAAAAGATGTACGGTAGTTGTACGATACATGTATTACGAGAAGTATGGACCAATATGGACCTGTAATTCACGGATATATGGAACTACCGATTTCCCTCATTGATGCCTCAACAGGGGCCGGAGCGTTATCGATAATCGACAGGTTACGCGAATAGCAGAGGTACCGTTTTAAAACATTTAAAAACACATTTTTTGGACTAACTGCTTCCAAAGTTAAATCACGAATGTGTTCAGAAAAGGTTGATAAATCTACTTAGCAAAAAATCTCATTTTAGGTATTTTCAGTGATAATTGACTCCGTTGTCACATTAATAACACATGCGTAAGTCAAACAATCGATGGCAAAAACAGGATTCCGTATTACAAACCCAGTCAGATATACAGGAAACATAAAAATTACATTTGTAAAAAGATATCATGAGTGATAACATAGGGTAGAGTTCCATGTAATCAACAGCAAGTTTAGAAATAAAATGTGTTTTGTTGTCCAAAATTTGGCATCATATTTGCAGTAATGAAATTATCTTGATACAGTTTTGAATTTTGTCCTAGGGGTGTACCGTGAATATACATGTAACTTAAATAATCATTTCATTTTCAAGCTTCACATCTCAGTTCGACATTCATTAAATTGTGATTAATGAGCTACATATTGTATTAACTTTCGTGCAAGCTTCAAAAGTCTGTTCGACACTCTTTACATTACATTTCAGCTCGACATACCTTTAAAGTTTTAATAATTTGCTGACGCAACATTTCAGCTCGACATACCTTTAAAGTTTTAATAATTTGCTAACACAACATTTCAGCTCGACATACCTTTAAAGTGTTAATAATTTGCTGACACAACATTTCAGCTCGACATACCTTTAAAGTGTTAATAATTTGCTAACACAACATTTCAGCTCGACATACCTTTAAATTTTTAATAATTTGCTAACACAACATTTCAGCTCGACATACCTTTAAAGTGTTAATAATTTGCTAACACAACATTTTAGCTCGACATACCTTTAAAATTTTAATTATTTGCTTACAAAACATTTCAGCTCGACATGCCTTTAAAGTTTTAACTATTTGCTAACACAACATTTCAGCTCGACATACCTTTAAAGTTTTAACTATTTGCTAACACAACATTTCAGCTCGACATACCTTTAAAGTTTTAACTATTTGCTAACAAAACATTTCAGCTCGACATGCCTTTAAAGTTTTAACTATTTGCTAACACAACATTTCAGCTCGACATTTAGAAATCGAAAGTCGTACAGCGTGTCTATTGTCGACTTCTGTGCCAAATGCACACACTTTTCTTGTAATATTATAAATTGTAACATACTTGCTTATCAGCCATCACATTACAGCTATTTCTTTAAGTATGACAATATTTGCCTTAGTTTTTATGTAACAATATAAAATAACGCCAGATACAAGTAACATGTGTGTTGTAACAGTTAAACAAAATGTTTTCCTGAATATTTGTATTTTATTTTCGTTGATTTATATATTAAAGCAATAAATGATGTGACTTGATTTGAAATAAAAAAGAAATAATGAAAAATAGCAATTTCAATTTTGAAACATTAAAATTATATGAAAAACAAACAGTTAAGAATTAAAATTAAGACAAAACGGGTAATTTCATTTAAACATATAAAAAGAAAAAAACATGACTTACCAAATAAGACGGTGATTTAAAATTTACAAGCTTCCAAATGAAAAAGACTACCGCATTTATGTTTCAAAATTTAGTCAATGTAAATCAAACTTCATAATGGCTGTATATTTTTATCGGTGAATACGCGCGGGAAGGCGGAAGTAGATATACGCCACTGTGCAAGTATTAGAGTGGATTTGAATATCTCTACTTGTTAACAACTGACATTATTTGTAATGGACGGATCGCGTTAAATGTATGTATTATTTTATTTTATTCTTTAATGCTAATATTATCATGATTTATTATTTTTTTATGTTAATCTCGCTCGTTCCTTCTTGTGTTGTTGTTGTTCTTTTTCTTCTTGTTGTTTTTTTTATTATTAAAATAATTTTATAAACGATATTAAAACTAAATAAATCGATCATTAATTGTATTTGCAATGTTATTATAATGTGGAGTAAATTACTAAAAGTTTTGTGGAATTGAAGCGCTCACTTATGTCAAATTACAAAGTGAATATTTACACCTTTGATAAAAACCCGTCATATTGGTTATATTAGCAGAAAAAAATTTATGATGCTTTAAAAAATAATAATATTTGTTACCATAATGTTAACAATTATAATAGATTATTGAAATATACAATGAAGATTGTAACATGTATAATAATGTGGATAAAGATAACGGAAAATAAAATCATAAATTTATTTATAACACTGACAATTATTTTGATTTAACACTGAAATATTAAATGATGATGATGATGTTGTTATTAATGTTGTCGTTGTCGTTGTGATGGTGTATTGATGCTGTTATTGTTGTTGTTGTTGTTGTTGATGATGATGATGATGATCATCATCATCATCATCATCATGGAAATAATATGATATGAGCATGATAACCTTGATTATCATCATCAGCATAAATATAGTTAAGAGATATTATAGAAACGATAATAGAAATAATATAAAATTATCACCATTAAATAATATAATGATGATAATGATAATTATGTTGATAATGATAAAAGGAGCATAAATGAATATGTTAAAAGGTAATAATCATTATGATGATATTATCATTTTAATAATTAAGAACAATGATTGATAAAATAAAAAAACAATACTTGATTAACTTTAATTATTATCATGATCAATGTAATTAATCTACAAATGCATAAAACATCAGATTTAAAAAATGCATATTATTATACATTGCCTACATAAATTGTAAATAGTTGATACCTATGGTAACTAACGGATGTTAAGAGGAAATAACAATGAGTTTGTGAACAGTTATCATCTACAAATGATATTCATCAATAATAAACCAAATTAAACTATAATCGAGAGATTTCGGTGATAACATTTTTTTAGTTTTTACTTTTTTTTTTTTTTTTTTTTTTTTTTTTTTCTTTTTTTTTTTTTTTTTTTTTTTTTTTCTTTTTTTTTGTTTTTTTGTTTTTTTTTTTTTTTTTTTTATTGGTGAATAATAACCATATTAAGTAAATAAGATATGATAACAAAGTATAAGGATAACGATAATAACGATTTGATCAAAGTGTTTGAATCAGTATTTTTTTCACATAAAAACTGCTGAATGATATTTTATGGTAATATTGAAATATAAATATTGACAACAGAATTTCTCTGTATGTGTATATCTTATTTTTTTTTATAAAATGTTTGCAAATCTGAGTGACATATTGAAACGTTAATACATCGACTTTGTAGGTACTATATAAATTTTGTAGGTTATCGTGAAACAAATATAGTATCTGGATTATCGTGGCCTTAAGTTTGATTTGTTCGAATCCATGCCGCCACTTTCGTGTGCGTTACGGTTATTCTATCCCGGTAGTTTTACTCGTACACACAGTCCTGTCCGAAAAAAAATGAACTGCTAAACAAAATGGCTTATGAGCAAGCAGTAATGTTAGAAAGTCGCCATTTGTCTTTACTAGAGTCTCGGACTTCAACTTTTTTTAAAGGTTGAACATATCATATTTAGATAAATCATTTTATATAATTATTAAATGAAAAGAATTAAGGTAGAAAAAAAATCGCCGATGATAAATACATAAACAGTAAGGAAACCCTTCGATACCTTTCATCTACCGGTCGACTCTCTATATTTAAATAAGTAAAGCAGACGATTTTCTTTCCGATCTTCTATTTTTAGAAACAAACGTCACTTTCGCGTTATAAATAGCTTTCGGGACGACGGATTATCGGGCTTAACAGTGATAAGATGAACTTTTCGAATGATACTTAGTTTGAAACAACACATAATTGTTTTTCCAAACAAAACATAAAGCTTCAAGGCCGCTATAAAAATTCAACAATTACAACAACAACAAGGAAAAAACATATTCAGGATGTTACTGGAGAAAAAACGGTTAAACTTGATACTTTTGTTGCTGGTCAAAGTTTGTTTTCGTTTGTTTGTTTGTTTTGCATAAGATAATGTGATTCTAAGTAGGTAACCCAATCATGTATACTTGGTTAAGGTTTACATAATAAACACACGAAAACTTGTAATAAACCGCATTGTGTTATAAGATACTGCACAAGATTATGTTTAGCATTCTCTTAAAGGTGAAAAGATATGCAACATAGATTAATGGAATGTCATAAGAAATAAATTATTGTTATCTTCACGGATGCGGTTACTGTTATCTTGTGCATTTTAAAGGGGCTCCACTGACGTTTTATTTAATGACAGGACTTCAAATAATTTTTCGAGATTTTTGATAGTTTGATGAAATATATACCACAATAACTTGTGAGCAAAATTTCAGATTATTCGTTTACACCGTTTATTTTATTTTGTAAAATCACATGACAGTGAAAAGCTTTTAAACGTTTTTCAATTAAAATCAGGCAATAGTCTAAACAGGTATTGTCTTTTCAATCCAATTCTGAACAACCATTTTCTTTTTTATCTTTCTTTTTATTCAGTTCAAGTGTTCATTTTTTATTGATTTATTTATTTATTTATTTATTTTTTGCTTTTGTGCTTTTGAACTTCAGTGGAGTTCCTTTAAGACGCGATTATAGACTGCCTTAAAAATAACAATTGGTTTACTTGCAATATTATTTGACCTGTGTTTAATGCTCATCGTGTTCTTTAGTCAAAATATCAATTGAAAAACGAATAAAAAAAGCCCGTATGACTACAACCATATACTTCAATCAAGTAATTATGAGTATAGATTCTTGTAAAAGCTTATATTTGACAAATGCGTACATTTCATTGATGGCTGGACGGACGACCTTACGTGAAAAGGTACAACATCGCAAAAAGTTCCGGTTTAAGTTGTTAATTGTATTTGCAACCGGAACTCCCCGGCTATTATTTCATAAAAACCTCGGACTTAATACGGATTAAAAGTAAGCTGTCCGGTTAGCTCAAGGGGTAGAGCGTTGGACTGTGAAACTTGCAATCGAGGCGGTTCGATTCCCGAATGGTGCAGGTCACTTTCGTTGTAATTGATCATGAAATCCTTTCTACATCCATTCACACTGTACCTCAACCCTTGCTGAAGTACAGAAGTTATCAGTTCTTTGCGAACTGGAGGTACTAGTACTGGTAAACGCTCTGGTTAATTCATTGTGGCCCCATATCGTGATTCGGAGGGTGAACTGCCACCATCACCACCGATGTGGTTTCAAATGTAAAGTATAATCTTTGATAATGTAAAATAAATGTTTATTATACATGTATATATTTGTCATTCAAATGAAAATAAAATCTATTTCTGTAAAAAGATCATTGAAAATATGTCTGACAATTATTATAATTAATTAAAAAATGTTCTAATGATGTGCAAATAGCCAAATAACCAAATAACCATAACCAAATTCGAATTAAAGGGACTCTAAAGAGTTGGGTTGGTTTTTTTTTACACAAAGTATCTACACAAATTTGTTTACCATTTAATGTAGATCTGAACCAATAACTTGTTTGCAAATTTTCAGATTATAGTTCCCCTCCCTAGTTCACAAATGATATTTACAAAAAAATGGTTCATGTATAACTTAAAGTTACCGACACAACATTTGCCTAACTACCCTTGGTATCAAAACTCTTAGTTTAAATTGAAGGTTGTTGGTTCAAATAGTTGTTTTGTATTGTTTTTTTTTTTTTTTAAATTTATTTTGCGAAACTTGACCACTATGTTATGATTTTCTTTTAAGAAAAGACACAAGAAATTAAAAAATTGATTTATCCACTAATGCTGCATATAATTAAAAAATAATTAAAGAATTCTGAAAAGCATTATATTGAGGATTCGAACTTGCAACTTCTATACTCACCACTTGGCCATCCGGACAAAGAATAAAGTAAAGTATCAAGTATCTTGTATTTAAAATTTATTTAGTAAATCGTAATAAACGGAAAAAAGTTAACGAGAGAATGAAATGTTGTATGTATGAACAATGATTAAAAAAAAGAACTGCAGTGCTTTTAGCATAATCATACACAAAGCATTTTATCAGAGAACGTGTATAAAAGTAAATTTTATGTGAATACATTTCTACATTTATAAACATTTTTAGCCACGAATTTAGTACTTCGACTAAGGGGTACAGCCCCCAACTCCACCCATGTACGTTTTCAAGGTAGGCTGGTATGTTTTGGTTATCTGATCGCCTTGGAGTTTGCAGAAATTGCATGAAGGATTGATATTTGACTGGAGTGTCGTATGAATGATAATTATTATGACATGAATATTGTAGTCTGCAGTATTTCTATTACAAACCGAAGTCCAAAACAATGGCCTACTTCTCCTGATAAAAATATCGTGCTCTATTTTAAGGAATGGATAAATTTCTTGTACTACTTACGGTATTTTCACTATTACATGAACTGGGTTTCCAGCAAATGATTAAGTGTCATAGTGTTATGCAATCCGGAAAAGTGCCATAAATGTAATTTGATCTCTATTGAAAAAGAATAATGATGTGGTTGGTTTTCCATTTGTTAAGTTTAAATAGATTTGTTTTACAAAAAGAAAAGAAAAGAAAAATGAAAAGATATTTTATCTTGCTTTGAAATTTAATAAGAGTGATATGAATGTTATTGATATGGTTACATTTATATATTGTTATTTAAGGGTAGGCGGAACGAGCGGTAGTATGTCTGTAAAAGGCGGAGCATATAGACGCAATTGCATGGTGGCTGATTTGTGCCATTCGTGTTTTCCCCCCACGACCCCGCCAAGCGAAAAGTCGATAATTAACAAGTTAAAATGGCGGAGGCGCGGCGCGAAAAATCTTTCAATTTTACTTGTTATCCAAGTCATTTTGCTTGGACCAGACCCTTCAATCTTTGTCCCAACAGACAAACATTTGTGAATTTATGCATAAGGTTCTACTTTTTCACAAAAATAGTTATGCAACTTAATTCTTAAACAACGAGCACATACCAAGAACATACATGGAGAAAATATTGAGTTGTGCTTCGGATATTCAACTGTAATATAGAGAACGATTTTCAATGCTGATTGACTGTTTATATCATTTGGCGGCGTCTTTGATGTGCAGCATCAACATTTAACATGTAATGCCATGTGGGCAAGCATATACGTCATAACTACTATATAATTATATGTATGTATACTATTGAGGGTGATTACGTTATATACCTTAAATGTGTTTATACGCGTAAAATATGCCCCTCTATGTTGGTGCAGTGGTATGTTTGTTCCCATGCTTAGATTTAAATGTTAAAGTTAAGTTTCTATGCTGATTAGAATTAGCTAAGATGTTAATAAATTTTTAATACCTTAAAGTTATATCGGTATACGTCTTTATGTGCGTAAAATATGCCATATAACAAGGACATCTCTATGTCGATACAATGATATGTTTGCTCCAATGCTAAGACTTGCATATTAAAATTAAGATTTTTATGCTTATTAGAATGTGTTAATACGTTAATAGAGTTACCGTTTAAGTTTGAGAAATGCCATTATCTGATTACAGGCTAGCACTGTCAAATGGTCCATGAATAATTATGTACTCAGATACGGTACATATTTGATTGATCTTCTAGTTATTCGTTGAAGAGTCAAGTTTACCCGTTCAACGAGTCCACTAATACAAATCATAGGTTTTCCAAAGTTGTCATAAAAATTAGTAGGAATTGCAAAGAAATATGTAAAAAGATTACGTCTACAATTATTTTAGATTTCTGTTGGGAAAAAAAAGGAATATTTGGTATCAAAAATTGGCACAGATTCAAGTTTCCGTACTTTTTAAAAAAGAAATAATAGGAAAATAGAAATCTTACTTGTCATGAAAGAATATTGGTCTACATTCTAAAGAATGATATGTATTTTAGATTATATGACACTTGATTATTTGAATTACTATTATTACTATAATAACTAAAAGATCAAGAATAAGAAGTATATTTGAAAATCAAAGTGTATATGTCTGAGTTAACATGAAAGAAAGATCAGATAAAATTAGCGTAGTTGTGCAACTACTTAAAAGGGTCAAGGGTCATGGAAATGATAGTCTAGCCTGTTGGTATTGATACGTACATTGGAAATAGTTTCTGTTTATAATCCACATAAAATAAATGATAAAATCTCATTGTTTATTATAGCTGATAAAAGATGAAACTCCACATTGTTAACATACTGGTAATACTGTTCGTATGTAACTCCGTGGTGTTGGGTTGCGGCAGAGGAAGAAGACGTGGCCGTAGTTGCCCACCTCGGGATAGGACCAGACCAACTATAAAATGTCCACCAAATATAGAAGCAGTTGCAGATCCTTTCCAAATTAACACAAAAGTATGGTGGGACGAACGGACCATCTCAGCCAACGACAATCGAGATGGCCCGATTACGTAAGATATAATCTTTGCAAATATATGTTGAATAGTTAACAAGTGCGTATAAAAAAAATTATCCTAATATTATTTGTTGTTGTTGTAGCTAATTTCTTTTTCAAACAATGCATTTTCTGATCAAATACCATTGATTGAGAGGAATACATGTTCTCCCCTGTTTCAGGCCTGTAAGATCTGGAAAAGCACCTGGAAAACTGTTTTCAGGGACTACGAGAATAAGATATACTGCAAAGGACAAGGCAGGCAACTACGCTTCGTGCTCATTCTATATAATTGTAAAAAGTGTGTTATGTTTTGTTTTGTTTTTATTTTATATATATATATATATTATACAGTCAAACTAAGGTATCAAAAAGTTTCCAAGTTATTGCAAAAGTGTATTTTATTACTTTTTATGGTTCGGTATATATCTTGAAATAAATACTTTCGTAACTTTATACATGAACGCATGTACAACTCAAATTTCTGATTATCTGTTAATTGATTGTAATATGTTAATTAATTGTAATCTGTTAATTAATTGTAAGAATTGTTCATTAACCAACACCTACATGTAATAAATCTAGAAACATTAAACAAATGTATAAAGAAAATATGTATTTTCTTAGTTTTGGTATGTCCCACATGGGGCGAAATTCAAGATGGCTGGAAGATTTGTCACGTGAGTTATCAAATGCGACGCGGAAGTGTGTGTCGGTTTGGTTGCTATGGAGGTCACGAGCTGGTTGGCCCATCAAAAACTACATGTTTGGACTCGGAACAATGGGACACGGCAACTCAACCTTACTGTCAAAGTATGTACAAAAATTTAGTGTAACTTCCTTGAAATGTAACCACCGTATAAACCTGTATGTTCAAATGTTTTTTTAAGTTACTGACCCCAAGACACTTTTTATTCCAGTATATCTCTCGACCATGTCGACCATATTGGCAGGACAAGAAAGACAAATCCTACTAATTATGTCTAACATTCTGCCATGTTAATTCCCCTGTATATATACGGGAAGAAAGGATTTGTTTGTTTTTGCTGTCATTTATTAGATATTTACATTTATTGGATATTTTTTATTCTGAAACAACAGACAAATTTCTCACGACGTTTGTGTAATTTCTTTGCTAAGTTTTATGGTAAAAATATGCGTAACAATTGGCTATTGTTTAAACCGGAAGTTAACATTCGTCAGACCCAAATAAACAGCGACAAAATCAATCGGAACGTCTTCGGCAATCATCTATAATAACCGTATCCGAAGACGGAGAGAACCGAAAAGTTGTGATTGCGGCAGTATTTTACTTATGATGATTTTTATAAGTTGAATAAGTTTTGAAAGTATACATTTTGTTACATTTAGATAAGTTACCCTTATTTTTTATTTCACCAAGAACTTCAATGCAGTGAGCTTCTCCCTTCTGTCGGCCAATATGGCGTCGTTGATATTTCCTGCACCGACAATAACTTTTACCGAAGTAAGTGTTCATATAACTGCAAGGATGGTTACAGCATTCTCCCCGGGCACAGCAAGGTTCGAGTCTGCAACGAGTATGGCAACTGGAGGGGTTGGATGCCTGTGTGTGAAGGTCTGTATATGTATTGATGATTTTGCATTTTCTTGTGTGAAGAATGACACATATGCTGTTTCTCGAAAGTGTAGTTGAGTTTAAGTTGACCCGATGTCGGCGAATGGGTTTCATCGGATTAACAAAAGTAATACATAGTGTACATAAAACTGCACATATTGCCACTTATAAATATAACTTTTAATTACCGCACATACAAAAAAGTTACAGCATCAACTTTTGTTTAATCCTTACACTTTAAGGTGTCATGCTGAAAATGCACTACTTTGAAATTAAAATAAAATCTTCCCTAACTCAACTTCTGAAAGGCCCATCTAACAAGGTCAATAAATCATTTTTGTTTTGCTAAAGTTTTTTTTTTTATCTCTCGGTAATATACATACACATACGCAATATACATTGGCCATTTTTCGCTTTTGCGTTTTTGAACGTTATTTTATCAGTTGATAAAAATCTTACGTGTTCTATATCCTATACTGCATGTACAGCATTATAAAGCCTTCCGTGAGAAGGAAAACGTCTTCAATTTTGAGTGTTGATTTTTTTGTGCCTTTAAATACGGTTTTCACCAATTAATAGCTTCTGTAGAGAATCCAAGATCTGACAAGTAACAGTTTATCAAGTGTACATATGTAGCAAGGACACGCGTGTGCAATGCAAGTTCTCTTTTCACACACATGTACACAAGCGACAAAAAACTCGATTCTGATCCATGTTTATTTTTTCGCTCATAAGATAAAAATAAACAATACGCTTATGTTTTCACCAGATACGTCGCCGCCAGTGTTTCAAGATTGCCCGTATGTAAAGGTTGGGTACGCCGAGCGATCAAAAACTTCCGGAAGAGTCTGGTGGAACGAACCTCATGGTAAGTTGAAAAAAACAAACTTTCAAAACAATACAAGTATTTAGCGATATATGTTTCTTTTTGACTTTTGACCGGAGGCCATCTAAAATCAGTTTGACTTCCTGTAACACAGGAAAGAACTGAATATAAGAAGAATTTTCATTGGTCATTTCAGGATTACTGCAGATTTTATAATCTAAATTTTCTTTTGTTGATAATTTTAAGAAAAAAATATGGACCAATCTCAAAATGAAATAGCAACCATAAAGCTGTGCGATGAACTTTAAGACTAATGATTAAAACAGGCTCTTCATGATTACAACTGTTGTTTTTAAGCCATGTATCCATATATGTCTGTCGGTTACAGGAGCAATATAGCGGAATATTTACCCTCCTACACATCTAAGAGATGAAAATCTTTTTATTTCAATTTTGGCTTTTTTCAGTAAGAGTCCACATGAACTATTTTGGCAGCATAGAGAGGCGTGTACTCTGTAGACAGTAAATCATTGGTTAATCAACCATTTATTTACGTTAATGGTTAATAAATCATAAATAATTAATGATGAAACACTAATAAAAACACGTGAAATGCTCACACATTAATCTTTGAAGAATAAAAACAAAATAATATTATGTTGAAATGAAATTTTAAGGAAAGGATAAACAAAGTAGTATATTAAGATACTCGATGGTGATCTGAATTATCCTCCCCTGACACGACGTCATATTGTCCTAATATCATAATATATAATATAATTACAGCCACGGACAACAGTGGAATCGTTAATACGATTCGAATATCAGGTCCTGGATCTGGAACTGAGCTTGACGTTGGCGAGCATACCGTCACATACATGGCTTCTGATGCTGCAAATAATACTGCCATCTGCGAGTTCAATGTTGTCGTAAAACGTAAGAATTGTCGTTAAATATACCGTAAGATATGTCGTAAAAAGATGATGTCTACTATAATGGTCAAAGGGAGGAAACACACGCAGTTATATGCAACTGTTATAATAACTGTTATTCAACAAATATATTATAATTATATAGTGAGATCTTACCAAATTAGCAGCATTTAGGTATAAATACAAATGTATACACGTATAGATACATTATTATGTATTATTTGAAATTTATTCAAACATACATGTAAGCAAAACGCAAATTATAATTTGATCACTTGATGAACTTTTCCAATGTTGACAGTTTAGCAAATTAAACTTTGACCTTTCCAGTGTTAAATCGGCTTACTGTTTATTCACTTGCGACGTTTGTCACAGCAACACGAAAAACTACAAAAGTACACAGGCTAATTGATTTTTTTTTTCAGAGATAAAGTGTCATATGATTTACCCTCTACCATACACTGCCGTCGTTTGCCCGACAGGAAGAATATTTGGATCGTCTTGTGAGTTCACTTGTGACAATGGTACTGCGTTGAATGGCCCTGCGCATGCGCAGTGTGATAAGACAGGCGAAATTGTTCCATATGGTAGATGGACATTCATGAACAACCAGCCATACTGTGAAAGTACGCAGTTTTTAGACATAAAATAATAAAGTTAATAAAAAGCCTAAGATTTTCATAAAAACGTTCTAGTAATCGTCTTATTTTTAAGGATCGTTTTGTAGCATGGGTAAATCTTTCATGATGTGAAATCGAAGTATTGGGTATTTTGTAACAAAATTGGCTTATCATGCCATTTTTGTATTTTACAACAAATATATTGTCTTTTATAAAAATGAATGGTTTATCTAATCTTAATTCTCAAGAATGTTTACAGCTTTTTTAACCATTCAAAAATCCTTTCCCTGAAAAAAACCCTCAAAAATCCTTCCCGGTATCCATATATTAGAACACATGGTGTTACCCTTTTACAGACTGGAAACTACTATACAAAGGTCGAGATGCAGACAACTTAAGCACTAGGCCACCGCTTCTATTACTTTTAACAGTCCCACATTAAAAAAAATCTAACAAAAAATCCTCAATGTTCAAGACTCATGCATGAGGAAATGTTTATGCGCAGACTTTTAATATTGTATCACATTTCTCGTAGATATTAACACGTGTCCAGCACTCCGTGCACCTGATAATGGAGCGTTGGCTTGTGACACGTGGCTGCAAGGAAAGTTCTGTCAAATTTTATGTGAAGATGGATACTTGGTTATGGACGATTCAGAAACACAGGGGAATGAAGTATCTGTGCAAAAGAACCTACTCGTGTGCGGAGATTCTGGTAATTGGTACATATCTGCAACGATTCCAAATTGTCAAGGTATGTTTTTCAGGTAAATGGTGACAAATAACGTTTAAGGTATAAAGTATGTTTTTTATCTTAATGGTGACAAATAACATGTGACAGAGACGGTATGTTATTATTGTAAATGATGAGGAAAAAACGCACAAGGGGTAAGGTAGGTTTTTGAAGTGAATTGTGAGGAATAGTATTTGATGGGAAGATTTGTTTTCTAGGTGAAACGGAAGGGTATCTGATTGCCGAGTGTGTTTGATGTTCTTTCTTTTAAGTATCATATACAAAAATAAAAACACGTCCCCTCTTGTCACAATATTAAACCCCAGAAAAGGTAACCAATGAACCAGCATCTGAATATGATATTTACATCGCTATCTTTTACTCTGTCGTCGCAATAAGTAAACCCTAGAAAAGGTAACCAATGAACCAGCATCTGAATATGATATTTACATCGCTATCTTTTTCCCTGTTGTCGCAATAAGTAAACGCAAGTAAAAATGAGCCAATCGACGAACATGTTCTAGACAGGCAGTGAGTGTGAGTAACTAATACCTGCACTCTGGTTAACGCACTGTGCACGAGCGTTCTCGTGATTCTGGAGGTTATTATTGTATCAATTAACAAAACCTTTAAGTATCTTGTAGACTTTTCTGAAATGCTGAAGCATGACTGAGTTTCCAAGAAGCACTTTGATCAGACTGACTGTAGAAATGACACGTATTCTCACAACAAACATATTCTTGCATTTATTTACACAGAGGTTGATGGGAGAGCATCGGCTTTCTTTAAACTCAAGTTCGAGTACTATTATTATGAGGGACCTTGTGACGAGGCTAGAGAAGATATTAAGAATAAGTTCATTGAAGCGTTCAATAGAGGCACTGGACAAGACTGTCAACAAAAATGCTCTGTCAGTAAAGTTAAAGTGAGTTTTATTTATTTATTTATTTATTTATCAATTCATTCTACCATTCCAGTACTAAGAAAATACTGCAAATAATGGGGCGCACTTCTCCTGTGACAGCCTTTGTTATATCCTTAACTAAATCATTTCCAATTTTCAAACAACTTAAGAAAAATGTATAAATTTAACGTAAAATGTCAATAACGTTAACATAATCATTATTAAATTAATGAAATTATCAATGACAGATCATTTGCGGAAACAGAATTGGGGATTCAAGCAGGAAAACGAAAAAGCACTGACCCGACAATTACGTTCACAGTGACAGTAGAACTCTCAAACGACTTGTCAGCGACGGAAAAGCGCAATTACTAGAAATTCTATTAAGAATTCCGTTTCTAAGGCTACCGAGAACGATGACTTACAATTTGGAAATTGATGGCTTCTCGGCCGAGTCCCCGACAACAAGCGTTTCTCATATTGAGGGCGAGTGTTCAACCGAAGTGCTTTATGACAGGGCAACAATGCCCAGTGTGGTAAATGATCTTTCGTCTCTTTAAATTTCGTGTTATATTACAATTTAGCAAAAACATATGTACTAATTGGCCGTATAGCCCGATCCAATTTAGCTTCTTTTGTTTGTATTGGAAATCAGAGCAGTAAATATAGACTAAATATTTTGTATGGGAGTCAAAATATCAATCGTTTACATTTTGTTACGTTTATAATACTAGATTCACTCACATTAAGTGCCCATTTTTTTTGATTTATCGCACCCGAACATTTCTAAATATTATGTAAACTTTTCTCTAAGTACAAAAATAAAACCCTTTATTTTTTCCTTTTTACAAGCATTAACCAAATTATCTCTGAACTTGATGTGCCTGTATTTTAAAAATAGTCCTATTTTTGCCCCCCAAAACTTTTTATGGGATTCTTATTCATAATTTTTCATTTTTTGAATTCCACGGAAAAATTTTGTTTTTTTTTGGGTTTTAAAAAGTAATTGATGCGTCTTTTTTTTCCAGTTTAAAAGTAACGTTGGGTATTTCCATGAAATTAAATAGTAACACCTGCAGGATTTCGCCGTGGGTTTCTATCAAATGAGGCCTAAACAAAACCCCGGCAAGCAATGTCCCACCCGGGAAAACAACCCCAAAAAATACGGGACTAATCTCAGCCTCAGTGTGAAGCTAGCGTATTTGCTGACTTTGACAGAATTTTACCTTCAAATAAAGATTTGTTTCTGAAATGACATTTAAACTGAAGGAAAAGGCAACTGATTCATAAGATTATAATGATAATGAATTTAGAGCAGTTATATGCTTATCATGTGAAAGAAGCAAAGGCGAAATGATAAAAATATTTCAGAATAAAAGTAGCAAAACGTAAGCAAAGTAAGACAAACCAAACAAAGTAATGAATAATAATGGTTCAGCTAAACGGTCAATGAATATTGTTACTAACACTGTTACAGAACAACGGAACTATAAAGCTTTTAAGAAATAAAATACCGTTTTTGGGACTAAAAGTTAAGCTTAAACTCTGGAATATGTAAAAACATATATTTGTTGTATTTACCTGAATGTTTTCAGAAACATGATTCACATACATGTACTTTGGTATCCTTACTGGTAGAATAAGGAGCTGAAATGCATCCACGTTTGTCAACATATCAATTTTTATTAGGAACTACTTTCACAAATTTTGCATATATATAATATATATTTTGTAATTACATCATCAGAAAAAGCGTATATCATTAATATACGTGTAAGAATACGGGAAACTTGAAATACGGAGATGTACGGGACCGTATATTATATCAGTCCGTACATGACTAGTATACAAACTCCGTACACTCGTAAATATACGTGAACAACTTTGATGTACGAAGTCCGTATTTTACTAATATACGGAATTTTTATAACAAGTCCGTATATTACTAAAATACGAAATTCTGTATTCGTGCAAATACGGATTCTGTATATAGAAATAGCGAATGAAAATTTACTTCTGAAAAGCCTATATCCAGTAAGAGTAAAGAAATTGTCTGATCATATATTTGTCAGACATTAGACAATTTACACAATGCAAAATTTCCTTGAGTAATTAACGCGTCAATTGCGTACAAATACACAGAACATGTAAGACATCCACCTGTACCACCTGTAACATGCAGACGCGGTATTTTAGCTCAATACCGCTTGGTATGCTTTTTAGCATACACCCGCAGATAAATAGCGAATTCTTTACAATTGAGATTGACGATTAGATAGTACTGTTTCGCATGTTGCATCAATGGTGAATCATGCTATTTTGCAATTTTCTTTTCATTATCATTATAATATTTTATAATGATAAGCCAAACATGAGAAAATGATAAAGTTGAAATTGTGATGTTCAAAACATGAATTAATTATAATAAAATCGTGAATCTGTGAAGTTGAAATCGTGAAAGTTAAATAATTGTGAAATCACGAAGATGAAATCGGGATTGTCCACACAGCAATTAAATTTTACGTTGATATATGTCCTATAAAAAATAGGCTATACATAATATAATACATGTACTTGCATGTGTGAAAGAAAACAACAATGATATCTCATTCATTCATTCATTCATTCATTCATTCATTCATTCATTCATTCATTCATTCATTCATTCATTCATTCATTCATTCATTCATTCATTCATTGAATCAATCACCCAATCATTCATTCATTTACTTATTCATACATTCATTTATTCATTCATTACTCATTTATTCATATATTTCTTATTTATTATTTATTTATTTATTTATTTATTTATTTATTTATTTATTTAATCTTTTATTTCAGGAAACAAAGATTTGCGTTTCTGTACACAAGTGTTGAATAGAAATCTTATGTTGTTCTATGGAATATAAATCCGTGGTAGATCCGAATTCCCCATTTTTGATTCTTTTTCGCGCGGTCTCATTTATGACATAATATTGTGTAATAGCCACGTGCTGTATTGCCATAATCGAAGACAATACTGATTAAGTCGGATATTGATCCGGATATTGATCATAAACGCAGCAGGGTATATCAAGTGTCGCTTTTCTCCGATTAGGTAAGTTAGCGCAATTGGTGTTGAATTTCTTAACGGTATTTTTATTGTCAATTTCTAATATAATTCATGTACGAAATAAGGGAATTAAATTGTGATCTCATAACCGAGTCTCTATGTGATTTTGTTCCAGATATTATAAAGACTCTAACCCGACATATTAAAATGAAACAGACATACATGACATAGCTGCTATATTCTTTCCAATGTTTTTGCAGCGTCGTGTTGTTGTTATCCTTTAATTTGGCGGAATTCGTCATTTAAACAAGACGACACAATTAAGATTTATCTTAAAGTAAACTTTAAAGTACCTTGCCGCCAGGTCCAATTATATCTAAGTTAACAAGCTAGAATCAGATGGATGTCACTCGGGGTGTATGTACATGTATTGTTGATAGATGATGTCAAATTATTCGAAATAGCATATCTTGAAAAATATCATCATCATCTCCCGAGTTTCCTCGTCTCCCATCAGCCGTATTTCTGCATAATTCGGTGACTTGAACATTGTTCAGGAAAGGGGAACATGACCGTGCTATGTAAATTAACATTTGTTACCTTGTTAAAATAAAATTATGTATCTAGGAACAGTTTTTGTAAAAGTAAATTTCTGTTTAAAAAAATAAAAATTGTCTTAGTTTGATTTTAAAACTCAAGTTAAGAACATACTAAATTATATATTGATAGTAAAATCATTTTTTAAATTGGACTTTCGAATTTTTACTGATACTCCAAATATTCTTATACTAATAAAGTTTTATTTTAATTATGAAATCCGCAGATAATGTGAAAGGATCTTTATACTTCATTTATGTGTATAAGAAAGTAAGTAAGTAATTTATTTTAATGGGGATACGGACAAAAGCCCCCCCCCCATCTAAAAATGACAAGGTGGACAAAAGCCCCCCCCCCCATGAAATTTACACGTAGGACAAAAGCCCCCCCCCCCATCAAAAATACAGGTAGGACAAAAAGCACCCCCAGTCCATCTCCGTCTATTGAGAATCTCGTCAGTTTAAATCTGGAACTTGAAATATTTTAACAAATAAATGCAATTGTTTTAAAAGATAATTTACCTTAAGATTTTAAATTTAAAGGTACAAAAGTTCTAATTTGATTTATTGTGTAATTCGTACTTATAATTCATTGATGTTTTATGTTTACTTTATTATATATTGTGCAGTTCAAATGTAAATGAATATTTTCAGAGAATCGCTTTTCAAAGCTTATCAAGGAAATAAAAGTGAAAGACGCATACTTATCTAGATTTATTTGAAGTATAACCCAAGTTCCCGAACACTGGGCGTGTAAAAATAGAAAGTAATCAGTCTGGTCTATAAACCTTAGAGAGGCTTTTGTTTGATGGGACTGGGGTGGGGGCTTTTGTCCTATGTGTAAATTTAATGTGGGTTTTTGATTTTACCCGCTTATTGTTGTTGTCACAAAAATTTGTGTAATTTATAAATATTTCTTAGCGCTTCTAAAACGTCTTTTATTTTATTATTATATTATTATTATTATTATTATTATTATTATTATATTATATATTATTATTATATTATTATCATCATCATCATCATCATCATCATATATATTATTATCAACTATTATCATCATCATCATCATCATATCACCATCATAATATTATATATTATTATTATTATTATTATTATTATTATTATTATTATTATTATTATTATTATTATTATTATTATTATTATTATTATTATTATTATTATTATTATTATTATTATTATTATCAAAAAAATAAATAACCGATTGAGCATTAGAATCAAAGTTTTGCCTATGAAAAAGTATCAATGGTTATGTTATACATGTATGCAAAATATCGTTTATGGATTCATGATATTTCTAATTTAATCTGGAACATACGAAGTTATAGTACATCCCAGATTTAATATTGCATTATTTTGGATCGAATAAAGGTCTTAATATGTTGGTTTCTTCCGCATTATCACCGACCTTAGTATAAATCCGTGGCATTATTAATGCTAAATGCTTTATTACACCAACGGTATCTAGGCATATCTTATAAATTGTTTTGTACATTTATGCCATATACTGTCTTGCCATATTATAATGCATGGTATATCCTCATGGGCTATATAGCCTTATGGAATATTCAAAATAAACTTATCAAACTTAAACTTATCAAACTTATCATATCACGCGTTTTCAAAACAGCCAATGAGTTTAAAGCGTTGGTTTTGTATCACGTGAATCCTATCAACCAATCAGAAATAGTGCGGGCGAAATGAAAAAAAAAACGGGATTGGAAATGGATAGCAAATAAAATTCAGAATATTGCAAAACAAGGTAGGCTAAAAGTTATTTTTTATCGTTGCAATATCAATATGCGATCAATAGAATAGTTGCATTTT